ATTAATGGGTGAAATAATATTTTTTTGAAAATGGATGGTTGAAAAAGAAGGAAAAATTTTCGATTTACGTGTAATATTATTTTATGGAAGATTGTGTTGTTAAAAATAGGAGAGAAAAAAATGAAATGTAATGGAATAAAAATTAATGAGAGCCAAATAGGGACTTTAATTATTTTCTAACGGTCCGATCACACGATGTCACATGTATTTTGTTAAAAAATTAAAATAAAATAGATTAATTAGAATATTTATATTTATCTCTTCAAAATAATCCACTTTATATTATAAACACTAGATCGGAAATAAAATTAGAGTATTTATATTTATCTCTTCAAAATAATCCAAATTAAATGCAACCTAAAAATTCCAAACAATACACAAGTTTGTCCCCTGAAAATAAGAATTTGATATTGAATGGTAAGAAGCGAAATGGTGAAATGGTCATATTTTTTTTTTACTGAGTTTATGTTTGGTTCAACAAAATAGTAATTCAAATCGAAGTTAAATATAACGATTAATTATATTAATCCATAATTTTCAATTATATATTTTATTAATCTTTTTTAAAATCTAATAAAAATTTGGATTTTAACACAACCAAGAATTCCGCGTGCATGAAAATGAAGTATTAATAGACTTGTCTGCAATGTGCACAGCCCAACATTTAAACAAATTAATTCTATGTTCATTGAATAATGTAAAGTTAAATAATGTAAGCATTTCTATTCAATTGTGAGCCAACAATCAATCTTTTATGAACCTCTTTCTACTAAGGTTATTTGTTAGCGTAGGGTTACTACCATTAGCACTTAGATATCTATCCAAATTGATGGTAAAGATAAATATTACTGTCTTTTGAACACTTTTTAGCCCCTAACTAATAGGATTAAAATTTAAATTTTAATTTAAACTGTTGCGTGTTGTCACACCTGGCCAACTTACCTAGGACAATGGCTCACTCATGGCGATCCACGTGGCATTCCTGTCGAGGCGGCACACAATGTCGAGGTGGGCTACATCCGAACTGCTTCGAGCCGAAGTCTTTTTGCCGAGGCTCCTTTTTGTCCGAGGCCTATTGACCGAGGCCTACGAACCGAAGCCAGGTTGCTGAACCTATGGAGAGCAGCCGAGGCCCTCAAGTGGAATTATCATGACAAATGGCCGGAGCCCCGAAGCTGATGCGCGAGCCTATGAACCACAAGGAAACATCCTCCATGGTCACTTCTCCCAAGAGATCACCTGCACAGATCTTATTCGAATGATTGATGGAACGTTTGTCATAAGCATAAAGGTCAAGTCTTGTCACTAGCATGGAGGCCCTGCACAAGTAATAAATGCGCTGCAAGCTAGCAAGTCAAGCCCCATACCTAGGAAAAGATGTTTGAACTAAAGAGATGAGGCCACGTGCCACTTCATCCAAGGGCTTCCATTTCATATGTACTACTATAAATACTTCCCTTATGTAATATTAAAAGGCTAAGCAAGAATCAATACAAAGAACTACATTTACTCAATTCTCTCTCAGTTTACTTGCAATACACAAATCGAGTTTATACACATCTACATATATATTTATGAACACCGGTTGGTAATTATGGTACAATCGGATTACGAACAACCCGCCCGATTCCGAACGTCACCGTCCCGCGTCGTTGGGCTACTCCCACACCCTTTGAACCGCTCGTTTTAGACCGTCCACGTGTCTTAGCATGTTAGACATTCGCCCACGCAAGCGCGGGTGGGACCGGCATCTGTTGGCGCACTTTTTGGGGTCAACATAAACTATTTGACAACAATTAATTTAAATCATATATTTTATAAAATTCATAATTTTTTAACTACACATTTCATCAATTTTTATCAAAATCTACTAAATATTTGATTTTAATCTCGACCGAACAAAGCTTACCATCAAAGTAGTCTATTAGCGATAACTATAATTTTACTTAAACTTCAATCATTGAAAAAGGTTATACTTATTAATAATATAAGCCAACTGGAAATTATGTCGGCATTAAAAAGGAAGACTTACTGTTGAAGTCCACTCATGCCCATCCAGGAACCTAGGGTTGAATTATTGTTTCTAATGCTTTTCCCTTCTTTTAATGCCACTTTCTCTTTTGTCCCTTAGAACTTCCTTTGGCAGATAGATGCAATATCAGAAAATTTATTTGTATCTTTCCCACGAACTTGACAAAATACTAAATATTAAATTAATGTAGTCAGCATTTTCTTATTTATCTCTATTCATCTATTATTTAGGCCCTATTTGGAAGGGATTTTGAGAATTGATTTTTTGACCGTTAGAAGAAAAGTGGGATCCATCTGTGAGAGAAGAAGTCAAAAATTACGGCTAGAATAGTGAAATAACGGTCAAAAAATCAATTTTTTGGGGTAAAAAATTCCTCCCAAACAGGACCTTACTTCGTCCACCTCTTATTTTCTTCACTAGTTTTTTTTGACATCAGCATTCATTATATCTTCTCGAATTAGTTTTTATTACATCTTTGTATGATATTCAATGCTACCAAAGCGAAAAAGAATAGCCCATTATATCTATTTTCGGCCTTAATGTTTTAAATGTCACTCTTATTGGATTGATAATTACAATATTAGGGATAGGTAAAATATTCTAATGAAAAAATGTCAATTAGTCAAGCCGCCTATTAATAATATTCATCATACCAGTGCTTGTTTGGTAGGAATTTTGTTAATTGATTTTTTGACTGTTAAAGATAAAGTGGGTCCTACGTGTAATATTATTTTATGCAAGATTGTGTGGTTAAAAATAGAAAAAAAAAATAAAATGTAATGAAATGAAACTTAATGAGGTCAAACGGGAGCTCAATTGTTGTTACGAAGGTCACTTGATAGTCATTTATGATAAAGATAATTATTACGGTCTCTTAAACACTTTTAGCCTCTAATTAATAGGATTAAAATTAAAATTTTAATTTAAACTAAAAGTCAACAATTAATTTAAATTACATATTTTATGGAGTTCAAAATTTTTCAACTACGCATTTCATCAACTTCTATTAAAATCTACTAAAAATTTGATTTTAATCTCCACTAACCAGGAGCTTACCATCAAAGGAGTCTATTAGCGATAACTATAATTTTACTTAAACTTCAATTAATTAATTAACTAAGCCATCTAGAACTTATATCAGCATTAAGAAGGAAGACTTACTGTTGAAGTCCACTCGTACCCATCCAGGAACCTAGCTTGTTTCTTCCTAAGTCTGTCGTTGAATTATCTACACATTTCCAAACCATTCATCGGCATTCATCATGTCTTGTCTAATTTGTTTTTATTACATCTTTGTATAATATTCAATGCTACCAAAGCGAAAAAAATAGCCCATTATATCCATTTTCGTACTTAATGTTTTAAATGTCACTCTTGTTGGATTGATATTTACAATATCAGGTATAGGTAAAATACTCTAATGAAAAAATGTCAATTAGTCAAGCTGCCTATTAATAATATTCATCATACTAATATTTCTAGAATCCATAGACCGGTCAAATAAGAAATTGCTACTAAGTTATTATGTCTAAAGTTGATTTAGTCCTTGTGTAATAAAACTTGAAATGAAAATGCTAAACTTACATTTTCGTTTACATATAGTTGACATTTCCTCCCGTGTGGTTTTATGTAGACCATGATGTTAAAGATTGTTCGACAGATCAAAGGATGTTATGGAGTAAATGAAAGTGTAAAGGAAAATGTACCTTAAATATTGAACTTAAAATGAAATGAGATTTTTTTTAAAGCAAAAATACGATATTTTGGAAAATCAAATTTTAAATAAATTATTTAGGTAATTGGCCATCCTCCATTCATTTCTAAGAATATCAATCGTTCATATTCCCAATTTTTTTATTTCCATAATTGCCCTTTGAAAAATCAAATCTTAAATAAATTATTCAGGAAATTGGCCCTCCTCCATTCATTTCTAAGAATATCAATCGTTCATACTCCCAATTTTTTTTTTATTTCCATAATTGCCATCGAGTTAGATGGTCAAATGACAACAGTGCCTTGGACATCAGGACATGAATACCCCATCCACCCTAATTAGAGGTAGTTTCATCAATTCCACAATGTGGTGGAATGACCCAAAAACAGTTCGTCAACTATGCGATAGAAAAGCTAAGGGGGTGTTTGAAAGTCATTTTTATGTAATATAAGAATGCATTTTAGAATAGTAACTTGATAGGAAGTGTATGGTTGAAAAATAAAGAAAAGTTTTTTATTTACGTGTAATATTATTTTAATAAAGAATCTGTGGTTGAAAAGAAGAGAGAAAAAATACATTTTGAAAAAAATGAGTACCAAATGGGGGCTAAATAATGTGAGCATTTCTATTCAATTGTGGGCCAACAATCAATTTTTTATGAGCCTCTTTCTACGAAGGTTCTTTGTTAGCGTAGGGTTACTACCATTAGCACTTAGGAATCTATCCAAATTGATGATAAGGTTAAATATTACTGTCTCTTGAACACTTTTTAGCCTCGAATTAATAGGATTAAATTTTAATTTTAATTTAAACTAAAAGTCAACGATTAATTTAAATCACATATTTTATGGAGTTCATAATTTTTCAATTATACATTTCATCAACTTCTATCAAAATTTTAAAATTTACTAAAATTTTGATTTTAATCTCTACCGAATAGGAGCTTACCATCAAAATATTTTATTAGAGATAACTATAATTTTACTTAAATGTCAATTAATTGATTAACTAAACTTCAATTCGCTTCAATCATTGAAAAAGGCTATATTTGTTAATAATATAAGCTAATTGGAACTTATGCCATTGTTTGATTCTCATTCTTTGGTAAAAATACATTTTTAACAGTATTTTGACATCATTTCAATCACATTTTTCAATAAAATAATATTACACACAAATTTAAAATTTTCTTTTCTTTTAACCACACGTTTCACATCAATACACTATTCAAAAATTCATTCTATCCCCTAAAATGGGGCTCAAACAAGGGCACATATCGGCATTAAAAAGGAAGACTTACTGTTGAAGTCCACACATACCCATCGCCTATTTCTTCCTAAGTCTGCCATTGAATTATCTTCACATTTCCAAACCATTCACAAGGCAGATTGGTTTCTTCAGAGTTGGTTTTTGACTTTGAGAGGTAAAACTCCATGTCTTTCAGAATAACTAATTATTAATTTTGAATTTTCATACAATTTATTTTTCTTGAATCATCCTTTCCTTATGTTATCATACAAAGATTTTGATGTGCTTATTGTCATCCTTTCCTAGAGTCAAGATCTAAATGCTATAATTTTATCTTCTTCCTTTTCTGTTCTGTTACTAATAATAAAGAGCTTGTTTCTTCCTAAGTTTGCCTCTGAATTATCTTCACATTTCCATTCCATTCATCAGCTGGGAAACAATTACAAGAACACAAGGCAGATTGGTTTCTCTTCTCTTCCGGCTCATCAGCTTCTTTCAGTTAAAACTCCAGTGTTAATTTTGACTTTGAGAGGTAAATAACACCTTGTCTTTTATAATAACTAATTATTAATTTTGAATTTTCATACAATTTATTTTTCTTGCATCATCCTTTCCTTATGTTATTGTGATGTATTTAATTTAGCTTTTATTGTTAGTACACTTAGCAGGTATATGTCAAACCCTAGTCCCACGCATTGGGAAGCTTTGAAATGGTTGTTTAAATATTTGAAAGGAACATGCAATGTTGGTTTAGTATATAAGTTTATATCTCTAACTACCAAGTCCATCTTTTAATTAGGTATTGAGCACCTAGCCCTAATGGGCCGATTTCCTCTAAATACCTAACTTAATTGGGTTACTACAATTGTGGTGTGGATCTTTAATACATATTTCAATCCCGGGCTTAAAGCCTATGAAACGAACGGGTCTCGATTTTTCATCATTGCCTAGGGGGTTGTTTGGGCATCACTAAAATACCTAACAACCTCCACCTTGATGCCAGAACAACCTGCAAGTCAGATAAGATAACAAATAGCTTAAGTAAAGAGACTTACAAGTTTGTACCGATATTTAGAAGATCAAGGCAACTTCTAAACTTTACCAATGGGAGCACTTTAGTTCCCATATCTGCAGGATTGTACTCTGAAAGGATTTTCTCAAGTTTTACCAGTTCTTGAGAAACCATATCTCTAATGAAATGCAATTTAACATCTATATGTTTAGTACGTTCATGAAAGACAGGATTTTTGCATAAGTGAATAGTAGATTGACTATCAGAATATATTGTCACGTCATTATCAAGAACACCTAGTTCATTTAATATACCTTTAAACCACATAGATTCTTTAAAGGCTTCAGTAGCAGCAATATATTCAGATTCAGTAGTAGATAATGCAACAACATGTTGAAGTTGTGATTTCCAGCTAATACATGATTCACACAAAGTAAATACATAGGAAGATGTAGATTTCCTATTATCTCTATCACTAGCATAATTAGCATCAGTAAAGCCTTTCAATTTTACTCCTTCAGTACTAAACTTATATACTAAACCAACATTACATGTTCCTTTCAAATATTTAAACAACCATTTCAAAGCTTCCCAATGCGTGGGACCAGGGTTTGACATATACCTGCCAAGCGTACTAACAGTAAAAGCTAAATCAAGTTTAGTACACACCATTAAATACATCACAGAACCGATGGCATTCGAATATGGAACATTTTTCATATATTCCTCTTCCTCTTCATTAGGAGGTGATTGTTCCTTAGATAACACAAAGTGATTGCCCAAAGGCTAAGAAACAGGTTTACATTCAATCATGCCAAACTTTTTCAAAATTTTCATAATGTATGGAGCCTGATGCAAAAGCAACAATGAATTTGACCTATCTCTTTTAATCTCCATGCCTAAGATCCTTTTAGCATTACCTAGGTCTTTCATATCAAATTCATTACTCAAAGTAGTTTTTATACTGTTTAACAACTTTAAGTTGGGACCAATCAAAAGCATATCATCCACGTATAGCAACAGAAACACATAGTTATTATTCATACTGCCTTGATAGTACAAGCAATGATCAAATTCATTCCTTTTAAAACCAATTGTTTGAACAAACGAATCAAAACGTTTGTACCACTGTCTAGGAGATTGTTTTAAACCATATAGAGAGCGTTTTAGAAAACACACATGATTAGGTTTTTGTTTGTTTTCAAAACCCTTAGGTTGATCCATAAAAATCTTTTCATCAACCATGCAGAAAAGCAGTTTTAACATCAAGTTGTTCAAGTTCCCAATTAAAATGCGCAACTAATGCAAGCATAGTCCTAATTGTGGTATACTTAACAACTGGAGAAAAGATCTCATTATAACCTATCCCTTCCTTTTGTGTGTAACCTTTGGCCACAAGTCTAGCCTTAAACCTTAAATCCTCTCCTTTGGTAATTCCCTCCTTAACCTTAAAAACCCATTTGCACCCAACAATAGACTTGTCTTTAGGTCTTGGGACTAACTCCCATGTTTGATTTTTATCGAGAGAATTTATCTCTTCTTTCATCGCTTTCACCCAATTTTCAGATTGTTCACTCCTCAAGGCTTCTTTATACGTGTTTGGTTCCCTATCAACTAGTTCTTCATAACTAGTATAAGCAAGCTCAAAATCAGACTCTAATCTTTGAGGCACCCTATGTGTTCTCTTAACTCTGTCTCTAGCTAACTGGTAATCAGATAAAGGGTTTTGTTCTTCTTGATATTCCTCTACAATCTCATCTCTCTCAGTATTTTCATTCTGGCTGTCTTCTAATTTAGGATTTTGATGCTCCACCACAATTGAGGTGGTGGGGGTTCTAACACTTAAAGATCTTAGATCCTCTCGGGATTCGTCACTAGTGTTTTCTTGCTGTTTTTCTCTCAAACTGTCATTCTCTGATTTAAGACACGGCATATCAGACTCATTAAATGTAACATCACGGCTTACGATGATCTTAACTCCAGGTTGACTTCTATCCCAAAGCCTGTACCCTTTAACTCCTTCAGGGTATCCTAAGAAAATACATTTCCTAGCTCTAGGTTCTAGTTTTCCCTCATTTTGATGAGAGAAAGCAGCACGGCTAAAAGTTTTCAACATAGTATAGTCAGCACATTTACCATACCATTTTTCATACGGAGTATCACCATTTAATGCAGTAGAAGGTGTCATATTAATCAAATAACATGCAGTTACAACAGCTTCACCCCAAAACGATTTAGGAATACCAGAACTCAACATCATACATCTAACTTTGTCAAGTAAAGTACGATTCATACGTTCAGCCACCCCGTTCTGTTGAGGTGTATAAGGAACAGTTCTATGTATAGTAATTCCACATTTTTCAAACATATCATCAAAATCTTTATTACAGAATTCTAGGCCATT